CTGGTCCTAAGCTTTGGCTTAAACTATCTTGTACTTGGGTACTAAATTCAAAAGAGGTGTTGTCTAAATTAATTATAGAAGATCCTAAATTTTCTAAAGCAGTTTAAGGGCTTTAGGTAAAGAAAGGATTATCGGCAACTGGGTTATTTAATTGTTTAAGAAAATGGTCAAAAGAGGTGATATCAAAAGAAGTAGGTAAATAAAAGACAAGAGAATATTGGGTATATTTGGCAAAGAGAGTTTGAATAATTTGTTTAGAGTTTTCAAGAGGTATACTATATCAGCAACTAAAAATAATATCACGTGTTACAGCTCTAGCTTGGTTATAAGTTGAGTTTGTAGTTAGAGTTATATAGGTAGCAACAGTTCGTTGAGTATATTTGGTAGCTTTGTAGGTATGATAGTACTAGGTCCAAAATCCTCAGTATAATCGATGAAGGTTTGTTATAGGAAAGCACGTTCACAAGATAAGTCTAAATGTAGAGTTTGTATTACTTTGTAAGCTTAACTAGTGTCCTAGTATTGTAGATTGTGTTGTTGAATTTGTTCTATATGTAACTAGTATACTCTATTTATATAAGTTCTTATCAAAAGATATCTTACTCTTACACATTTGGATCATGGCATATCTGTTTCTAAAATATATAATCTGTTTCTGAAGGGGTTGGAATTACTTACACCTACACGTTTGGCTCATAAGTAATTCATGCTTAACTGGTATTGTTAAAGTTCATAGTAAGCTACTAGCTATAGTTGAGTCCTTACGCCTACCTAATTTGGGAAACCGTTAAAGCTAGGTTCGATTCAGAATCGATAGTCTGACCGTTTGGAGACCAGAGCTATCATATTATTAATAATAGCCAATTAAATTCAAAATTGATAATCTCACTAATACAGGTAAATTGGCAAAACATAAACCTATTCCTCCTACCAGAAAAAAAAAGCTTAATACCTCTTGTCAGAGAAGACTTTCTGCAAAAAAAAGCCTACAAACATCAAGAGATTTTTTTAAATATCGACTATAGTGCATAAACACTTTTCAAGACTTACAATGATTTCTTGTGTATAAACTTTTACAAAAATAATAAAAAAAAAAAAATTAAATTAAAAAAAAAAATCATAACAATAGCAAGAACTTCTTTCAAAAATAATAACAGATAACAATAATAAGTATTTTCAGCAAAGAAAACACCTCTCAAAGAATAAGCACGATATTCTCACCACAAAATTTTGAATCAGTAGACTTGTTACAGCAAAGGTCCCCCACAAACATAATGGTAATGGACTCGATAGTGGATCCTACATGTGATCAAAAACATATGTTACTTTATAATGTCCAACAACCATTCGAAGTTCTGATGACAGAATTCGATGATGAATAGTGGCCTTTAGTTACGAACATTTGGGTGAAATTTAGTCATAAAACTCTTGTAAATAGGAATTCTTGGAAAACCTTTGTATGTCACTTTGCCAAACACTTTGAATTAAGTACACGTAAAGAAGGCATTCCAAGTGAAAAATGATGAAAAACTAAGGTTCGAGAAGCAGACTTATGCCATATAAAAATAAAAGTATCATGATTTGTTGTTGAGCAAAAAGTGTATATTGAACGGTTCCCAGGTTCCTCAGACTATACGTATAATTTGAATGAAAATGATAAGCTTAAATACTCCCAGGCTGTTAGAGTTTTAGTAGAAAAGGAGGCAGTGAAAAATTATTCTATACCTGCAATAGTAAATGCAGTTAAAGAGTATGCATCTAAAAAGCTAGATCTTAGCACAAGTGTAAAGAAATTAAAGTAGAAGGAGGTCGCCAATATAAAGTACAAAGTCCGTAGACCACAAAACACTTATCTTATTAGTGCTTCTAAACTAGCACCAGATATTCAAGATACAATTTCTTTTTTAAAAAAGAAAGGTTATCAAGTTGAATTATATAAAACTTCTCACCAATTCACCTCCAGTTTTGTTTTTGCGCATCCAAAGCAACTTGAAAAGCTTCAGCATTATAGATAGCTAATACTTATAGATTCAACTCATAAGACCAATAAATATGACTAGTGTTTATTTATGCTGTATGTTCGGGACAGGTATAGCTGCTGGGACGTCAGTGGATATTTTTTCATTAGCAACAAAAATAGTATTAACGTTGCAGCAGCTATAGTTATTGTTAGACGATTTTGTAGCACCTGGAAACCACGTTATTTTTTGGCAGATCAAAGCAGTATAGAGGCAAAAAGTATTATGACAGTCTTCCTAGGCCTTAGCAAAGGTGAACAAGAATATGATATTATTTTTTGTACCGTACATGTTATATGGACATAGATGAATAAAATATATGAATCAGAAACTCGATCCAAAATAATTCAAGTCATGTATAAGCGAACAAAAAATTGGTTGTAATATGTTTGTTCAAAAAGCAATTAATGAATATACACTTTCTCTTATTAAAAAATACATCTCAAGATATTATTCGAAAAATACTCACCAGTGGGCCTTATGGGCCTGCTAGCACTCTCCACTACATTTACAAATAACATTGACAAATGCTCTAGAGTTGTATCATAGCGAGTTAAAAAGAACAACCTCACCTCAATATGAGTTAATTAGCGCATGCAATAAGATTGTTGCATTTGACCTAAAAAAATG